TCAATATGAGCCCAAGTGCTTGGCTGCGGCGCAGAGATTACTCCTGCTGTTAGAGATTTGCGAGTTTAGTGCAAAAACGCATGGTCGCACCGGCAAATCTGGTGCGTTTCCAGCCTGGGTTTTTTTGCAGAAAAAGCCATTGGCTGAGGTGGTAGCGTTGTATTGTACACCTCTTAAAATTTCGGCTTTCTGTAATACGAGCAGTTTTACAAATTTCGATGTGTCCGCATATGAACACCATGTTCGTGAAAACTCATTCTGCACTTGTGGAAATATGGATAGTAAATGTCTTAAAAGTATAGCTTTTTATACAGAGCATGTGAAATTTGCTATGTGAGCACTTGAAACGTAAACGCAAGGGAAATTGATCTTATACTTTTGGTAGAGTCACAAGATCAAATAAAATTTTTGTAAAATTATAGCTTTGTGGCCTGTCCAATTTCCAAAACAAAAGCTGTATGGCTGGAAAACCAGACAACTGGCCCACTTATTCCGTAGGTAATATTAGAGGATATGCCCCATCGCCGTATCAAAGGCTCTCTTGATTGCACTTGTGTTACGCACAAAAATTCTGTTTTACTTCTTTTAATCAGGCTTTTCTATGAAAAAAATCTGGAGCTTTCTATGAAAAAATCTGAAAAATCTGAAAAAAATCTGGATTTGTCACCTGGCTTTTTCGATATCGTTCCGCGCATTATCCGTCAAAGACCTGATCAGTTCGGTGAATGTCGTAACCTCGGATTGTGCCATGCTAATTGCCACCTCATCAATAGCTTCGAATACTGATGTATTGGTGTAGATGTCCCGCTTGCTACACATTGGCGGCTGTGGCGGCGGCGGTGTTGTAGGATATGACGGTGGCCCACTGTTTGATGAATCGTCCTCACATTCCTAATACGAAGCTCAATGAAGTTTTCGAATTTACTATTTGGACCCTTGCTGGAAATACTTGGTGTTAACGAAACTATCACTGCGATGAATTACCTTGCATGATATAGTGATTTTCGACAGGCGCATGCTCACAGGCTTCAAAAACGAGGCGACGTACTTCCCGACTTCAGCATTTTTCTCACACTTCCTAATTTTTGTTCGTCTTCGTAGATGCAAATGAAAGAAAACTTAGGCTGTGGCACACCAAAATTGCAGGTGTAGTCATGTGTTTTTGTGCTATACTTAAAGGTCGTTAACTCTATGAAAGATTGTTGCCCTGCATTTAACTAGTACACTCATTACCTTAAGTTTTGTGTGAAGGAAAATGAATAATTTTCGATTCTTTGAAAATGGCCCAGTTGTTCTGGCTTCCAAGCTAGCAGTCTTCTCGCCAAAACTTTCACATACCCACACGTGAGTCGCAGATGTGCGTACAAATTGGCACCACCTCTCTGGGATAGCGCTTAATCAAGGAAATCATCGGC